GAAAGAGACACTGTGGTCGGCACGAGCCTGTCTCTCAGGAGAATACCTAATGGAAAAATACAGAAGCACATTAATGAGAAAGCGCCGAAATCGCGCGTGCGCGTGTTGGATAGACTAATAGTATGAAAAAAAAAATCACTAATAAAAGCGTGATATAACATATTCGAATTTTCTTTCAATAAAAAGATGTATAATTATAATTATAACAGGGTTTTTTATTTAAGTAGCACAAACTTTTTGTTATTTTTTCGTTTTGTTTTCTCACGTATGCGGTAAAGCGTTTGTGCACGAGGGAAATATATTTTTCTTCTGAAGCGATAACGCAAAGAGGTGCTATTTGGCAACAGATTTTAAGCGAGCACACGAGCAGCATATGAGAAGTTGTATCGGTACGTGCCGTCGCGCGTCCTAGATACATTCGTTTCGCCGTAAACTACGATAAATGCAATACAGAGTGTCTGTTACTGTGATATCATCTTTTCGATTGTAATGTTGCTACAAATTAATTTAAAAAATTGACTCTATTTATTCGCTTATTTTAAGCACATTAAAGTTAAACATTTTTATCAAATACAATTTTAAGACAACGTTTAAATAGAACAATGTGTAAATCTTGTTTTCTAACTAATCTTGAAATAATCCTCCTTTTAATAGCTACACTTTTTCTTATTTGATTGAAACATGAAATAGAAGCAATTAGATAATTGCGATAAATGATGACTTTGCATAGAATTTTTCTTGAGAGAAACCGATGTCAAAGACCATGAAAGTGTCCATGGTCGAAAGTATCACAGAATATACTTGTGAATCACCGTATACGTGGCGAGGACGTTTAACAACTACGGGTGTTGCTTTATCGTCGTTTTCTTTTTGTCGGGCTGGCACCGTGAGTTTCACGTTATCGAAAACCTGCGCCAGCATACGTAAATCAGAAGAGGCGCGACCTTGCGAAGAAACAATTCGCGAATTGCGGCTCTGTGGCCATAAATTTTCCCAGTAGTTAAGGATGTTTAAGTATAGTTACGGAGTTCCGGGGCAAATTCGTCATTAGGATGATAGAAGAGTGAGCGTGACAAGAGGAGATTGCGGTAGAGAATCTCGAAGGTACTTTTCCTAGCCTATCGAAATCCAGAAAATAATAAAATTATACAAAATCTCAGCGATTATTCATCAATTACAAAACATAAAATATAACAGATTTTACAAGACAAATAGAAGTTTACTAATTTTAATTATAGAATGTTAATTTTAATATTTATAAGGAATTTCAGACAAAAAGTATAGTGCAACATAAAAATATCTTACAGTTACCACTTGTATTCAATAAATAGCTAATATTGACATCATAGATGTATAATATTGGCGGTTCATTTATGTATATTTACATCATTCTTCATAAAAATATTTCGTGCGTGTTTAATTTTTTAATTAAATACACAAAAATGATATTACATACGTTGAAATATTAAAAGATCATTATACTCGTTCGTCTGAGGAAATTATATTCGTCGCGGAAAAATTAAATTAAATAGCATAGGAGGTCGCAAAATCCTATACCCAGCAGTATCCTATACCTATACAAGAGTAATGAGACTCTGTCATCGCGGAAGTCATGGAATCGTAACACCATAATTACAACCGTGAATAAAATCCGGTATGATAGCATCTATTAATTCAATGTAATTGCGAGTGTATAAATGCTTCAACATTTGTTCCTTCTGCGCGAAGAGTTCGAACCGACTGATTTACAGGGAGGAGTCGCATTGAATGAAACCTTGATGTCGCGCGATGAGAAATGTGTAAACGCATATTTCAACGCAGCTGTCCATATAAAAACAATTCATTAAATCGGCCGAGTGTGCCGACAGGAAACAAGACCTAAACGCGCAGACCGGTGCATTTTTCTTCTCCGCTGCCGCCTTCAATAAGATCGATTAATATACATATGTCACGTCTATATTAGCGACATTTTTATCGATTTCTATCTCGGCGACGGAAGATCGATTGTATTAATTGCGAACAAAGTAGTTAGTGTGCGTCAGAGCGTTGTGCGCACCTGACCGAGGTATGTATTTATTTTCCGAGACTTTGTAACGTCAAGTTGCAATCTAATCTTCGGCCCCGATAATAATTTGGCGGACAACGTATCATTAAGAGTTGCCTACATCCGGGCGCGTATCCTTGAGCATCTCCCTGCGACAAACTACGAGAATATAAAGAATACGAGAGAACGATTCTGCCAGTGACAGAAACAAAACGGCGACTCCGTAAATAATATTGAAATATATCTGATACTATTCAGCATTATGCAATATTATTTAAAGTGGTCCAAGTATATATATTTGCGTAAATTGAAGCGACTGTCGGTGCATCATTTCACTATTGACGCTTCTAACAATTATAAAATTGTTTTTTTTTTCTTCAAGTTATTGACATCCAGTCATTGCGCAATTTTAAACTCATACATATTTCCTGTAATTAATGACGAATACAATAATTATTTCGTTATTTCACCAAGAGAGAATTGTTATTTTTTCTCCGTGTCCATGAACTAATCCTTTCATTCAATGCTAACTATAATATGTCTGTTTTGCTACGGTGCGTGATAAAGAAACCTCTAGGATTATTAATTCTAACATCAAGGTTGACACTCGGTAGCACTCGACTTATCAGCTTTTTACACCGACCGACGCCCGTGGGTATTTTTTTTCCATGGTTCCGATAAGCGAGAAGTCGCTTTAAAGTCTTATGTTAATTATCTCTCGGTGTGAATATAAAAATCGAATATAAGAATATAAGAATCGAATTATCTCTCGGTGTGAATAATAAAATACGAAAAAAAAATTAAATTTTTTTCCAATATAAACCAATCGCGTCACTTTGCAGCATGCTGAAGGATAGCGCGTTGACGCAACATGAGCCTCCAGAAACTTACCGACTTTTAATAAGTACGGTTCACGCTACGTGTAGCGTTACGCAACCGCCGGCGCATCCTGTCGGATGTACGCTATTTCGCAATCATAAGCAGAGCATTGGTTACAGGCACGGCTATCGCGAAACGGAGGAGGTAGGGGGAGAGGAAATTCGGGCTAATGTTTCGCGGATCACGTCTATCAAAGCTGCGTTTCGTAATACCACGAAAGCTCGACTGTCTACCGCTTCTCAATTTTCACGTATGCTCCACTGACGAGTCGTCGACGATACGATTGTAAACCAGCAATCGTCGACAATGGACCATGAAAACAGCTGTAACTTATTGATAGTCCCTCACAGTCTTTGACAGAAAAATGACAGAAAAGAGACGGCTGCTTAAAACGTACGACTTTTAAATTTTCCCAAATACGATCTGATAACCCGCGTAACGTTGGTAACGTGGTAATTGCGATGACTGTAATTATAATTGAGTTGGTTGTTGCAGAAAGAGAGAGGGAGAGAGAAAAAAAACGTGAATCAACTTCTTCATTAACGCAAATTAGATGAATTAATTTCGTTTTCCTGGGAAACTATATGTATCGCGTGGCAGATTTAAAAATGACTAAAAAAAATTTTAATTTCATTTTATGCTGTGATTTTTGAGAAACGAAATTTTTTCTGAGCAAGAACTTTTCGCGACTTTGATTATCATGCTAATTTGTGACGAGGCGAAATGTGTTTCGTTTCCTCGGCCGCAGACGGTCAATGACATCGTGCGAAAACAACGCCTCGCTCTTATCAAATTGGGAGGCAAAAATGTTTTATTCTCGTTCGGCCGTTTATACTTGGAACAGCCGGGCGACGAAAATACAACGCGATCACGTGACAACGCTATATATCCATAAACGTACGGGCGATGACAATTTGAGCTACGTAATTCAGTGCAAAATCGCGGATAAAATATATCATTGTCAACGATCGTGCGCGTCGATAAGACACACTGGCACGAATGGCACAGGCAGCCTCTTTTGTTACATCTCGCGCATGTCACCTTTCATGCGGCGCATAATTACAGTATGCTCTACCTCTGCAAGTAAGCTTCATTGTTGACTCAACGCGCAATTATAAACCTCTTTGTGGCGAACGGATTTCGCATCCCACTCGCATAGATCAATATCGGAATAGACACAGACGGAACAAGGTATTTGTTTCGTCTATCTGGGAGTACCGTAGAAACATTCGCTAATCTTCTAACTGCTTTGCAAACTGGAATTAATCCATTTTGCAATCGTATTATTTAATAGAATGAACGCTTTGCAGAATAAATCTACTTACAAGAGCGATGCATTATAGAAGCTATTAAAAAAATTAAAATGGTAGAAAATGTGTGTGTATGTGTTATGCGCACTCGTAACATTTAACTTCATATTTTGTTTTAACAAAAATTTAAATGAAGATTATCATTTCTCGTAACTTATACATATTTTTAATAACAAATATTTTGATAACTAGGTCTCGGATTAAACACACATTAAAATTTTCACTTAATTAGAGAATAAAATTTTGTTACATAAGCAGAATTAAATCTTTCATGTTGAATAATTCAAATTAAAACTTTCTTTAAATTTTCACCAGAGAATTATTCATTCAGAATTCAAAGAATATATTCTTAATTTTATCTCTTCAAATATACTTTTATTTTTTCTTGAAATAAAACCGGCAATAAGTGACTAATCGGTATCTCGATGCGATATATTAAACATTAGTGCTCCAATAGCAGCATGGAGATATGTATTATCGATAAGCACAAGTTTATACGGCTACTGTGCACATAAATATGTAAATCCGATCGATTAACATTCGGCGCGTTATCTCCAATTATCACATAAAAAAAATAGAGAACCGGGTTTATCAAGCCCGACTTACTCTCTAACGTTTCACAACGGCTGGCCTTGCCTGTGCGACGTGTTATTCTGTCGCGAGGTATTACGATGACAACTTGATATTGGCAAGCAATAAAAATGAGCTACTCTCGAGCGATTAACATCCCGACCGGCGACTTTCGTGCCCCTATATTCGGCACTCACCTGGAGAGAGGATCGACGAACAGAGCGACGATGATCACCGCGATGATGACGCACGTGAGGTAGATAGCGGAGATCTCGTAGATCTCCGATTCCGGTGGTCGCTCCAGGTTCTCGTGGCCTCCGTTGCCAAGGACGCAGAAATCCGCGCCGCACAACTTGATTTTGTCCCAGCTGTTGATCGTGCTGTTGCCGTCGTCAGTTTTTGAGCCGCTATCGCTCAATACTGCAATTTGAAAGTGATCTCTGAGTGGTTTCCTCGAACGTTCGCGCTTTCTCTCAGTTAAATTTCTGTCAAATTTAACTCGAAAAAGAAAAATGTCATAGCGAGAAAGATTAAGAGCCTCCATTCTTAAAGCTTTTTCAAAGATTTTTTTATTACTGCTAATAAATAGTAATCAACCTCTTTCTTAAAATATTTTCTATACTAATAAGTGTTTATAGTTTTTACAGGAAAAATTAGATTTGTTTCATTGCAATTTCGTGATTAAAGAGCATTATTACGATTGTTTATGCTATAAATTCGTTTATACTACATATTTGATATTAAATAATTTAGAAATCTATAAAATATCTAGCCTAAAAATTCTGCGTGTATATTCATATATTATAACATCTAAAGTGTGCAAGAACTATCATCTTTCTTCGTGTTGGAAAAAATAGATACTGTTTTTCCTCTTTTTCAAAATGTAGCTAGAAAAAAAGTAAATTTAATTTATGCGAACGACTTGAAAATAACTATTGTTCTATACATTTTCGCAAGAGCGAAACTATTCTCATGTTAATCTTCTAGCAGAAAAAAGCGATTATCGTAGAATATTATAATATTTATAACTAAAAAAATATGCATGTAAATATGCATGTAAATTTAACAGTTGTGATCTTTTTTTACTGAATACACAATTGTTAATAACAGAAAGGATCATACACGATATTTTTGAGTCTTCTTTATCTTAATTAACAATAAAATAACTGTACGTTCAGCATAATTTCAGTACGTTCTTTGACCATGCTACAGAGTTCAAGATCTAAATTTCTCCTTGCGACATCAAATTTATACGGAAACTGTTTTATCGTCATCGTATATATCACGGTCGAGGAATAAAATCGGTTGGAGAATATCGACGCGAGGGATCTCTGCCTGGCAACTGCGTGTACTTGGATAACGCGGGAAACGCGTAACAATTTATTACCAAGTCGATTATGCCGGTTCGAAGCGAGTGCTCGAAGAATCGCACGGCGATGCACGCGTGTGCGTGGAGAGCGTTAAGTCGAGAGGTGAGGAGTCGACCTGTTACGCCGTACCGGAAACCGGCGGTGTACCAGGTCTCTCGTCGCCAGAGGAGAATGCGCGCTCGAAGCAAAGCTGGACTTACTTCGTAAATCAATATTTCATGGGCGAGTTTCACCGCCGACGAGACTCTTCCCTAATCGGTTTTGCGGACTCGTGATTTAGCGCATTATGCACGCTACGCCTTGCCTTTCCACGATCGAAAAATCGATTATGCGCGTCGGCTCGTCCCGATGGAGGTAACGACGTTGAATACATCGAGGTCACGGTTGCACCCGTGGTGTGGGATCCATCGCCGTAATTCTGTACCTTTATTCACGACGCGTGAAGTCGAAGGAGACCTTTGTCGAATGTAAATCACAACTGGTTACCTCTGACAGGGATGCAATAGACATCGCAACCTAGCGTGTGTTCTGATTGCTTTATTATCGCCATTAAGACAGCCGGGATTGCGAAGTGGCGTCCTACACGAAGATTCTGCACGCGCTTCACGCGCAAACGCGAAGAAATCCCGCGACAAACGGAGCGTATCATTAGATGCACTGTCCTTATCGTATTCACGTGTACTTGATGCCGTCACGAAATGATGCACGAAAAGTTATTTTAACCTTTAAACCACCACGCCCAAAAAAAATCACACTAACCACAATGTCGGTCTGACAGACCGCAATTATGCTCCTGCTAATTTTATAAGTTAATTATAATAAAAATGTATGTTTTCTGAATACTTGTTGATGGGGAAAAGGAAAACTGTTTTAATGTGAGAATTAACAAAAAAATCTCATATCCAATAGAAAAAAAATATATTTAAATGGTGACAAATAAGAAAATTGACAAATAACGTTTCAATAGCGGTCTGTGAGATCGATATAGTGGTTTAAAGGTTAAATTTAATAAGGACCGGTCCTGTTGAACAATAAATTTGACGTTTCGCACTAACAAGCGGAGATCACTGAACCGAACGGCGAAGCACAGCGGAGAAATGCTCGCAAATAACCGGAGAAAGAAATTCCTGTGCAGCTGTGCAAACGCGACCCACGCATGTGTCGCCAATGAGGAAGCGCACGATATGCGTTCGAATGCGTTCGTTTACGCGGAGCCTTCTCGAAGGATTCTCGATTGGTATTCGACGTGTCGATTCGAATCGGATATGTCGACTAGGTGTCGCGCTACGCGCCCCGAAGTGCAACGATTTTGCTTGGAACGCGTCAATGTGCAGCCGCTTCATACACGTGTTATTATTCGCGCGCGCGTATGTGATATAATGTGTAACAAAGTACAGTGCGGGTTTTACGTGACGATAAAACCTTTCCGAGTGTGTCGAGAAATTGCCCGATGCAAATTGCGGCACGCGTTACGCCGCCGCGAAAAATTAACGGCCGCGCGCTTCTCGTCGGTTAAATCATCGACCGGAACTACTGACACGTACGACTTTCATCTTCTATCGCCGCGGCTGCGTGCCAGGAATTTTGTTATTCGTAATTTCACACGGACGTTCAAACACTTTCCGGGACAGGAATTAATCGATAACTCTAACGAGTAGAACCTATCGGTGTACTGAAAGCTACATTGACTGATCCGCGTGCGCCGACCAGAAGAACTTTCACCGGAGCAGCTAATAATATTACGTCGTGTTTTACGATTCTCCCCACTATCGTCACCAATTGTCGGAAATGTCTGCTTTTTTTAACGCTGTTATCGTGCGGGCGCGCATGAAGATATGTGCGGAAATCATTCAGTTCAGTCATGCGACTGCAAGGTGTACGCATTGCTTTACGCAACGATAAATCTCTTAAAAATATTATAAACGATTTTTCTCCCCAGTTTTTCGCTCCAGTATTTTTCATATTTTACAAAAGTGTGAAAAATGTTTCATATTTTCGTAGAAATGACTGTGCAGTAGAAAATTATGCTCGTATGTAATCAGACACGGTTTAACGGAACGTTGAAGACACGGAATATGTATAAGCGCGCAAAAATTTACAAACGCAGATGTGCTTTTAATCAATTTCACATTCAGACTTTTTTTAAAAAAGCTAATTAATGTTTCTGTAATTTTAAACAATTAAAATAAAAATCTCATGGATTAAGACAAGGTTTAAAAAATAAGGTAAAATAAAATAACATTACTGTTCATTTAAATTCACATGAATTTTACTTCCTCTGCATTTTCAATATCATAAATCTGATATTATCGAGATATTTGAGACTAAAAGATTGCAACGAGTGGTAGCCTTCCCTGAAATTTCTGTGATAAAAAATTGATTTCAAATGTAGCAAAAAATTGGGCCACTGACATTAAGATTGCAGGTTCAGGGGCATACGTTTGATTATAATTTAATACTAAAATTAGCAAGACTTCGGTTCGGCAAAAATAAACCGGAGCCTTTAGGATAATTGATCATGTTGTATAAATGCGAGTAAATATATCATGCGTGTGCATGATATATTTAATCGACTTCTTCCATAATCGATGTCATAATGCATAAGAAATTCGTTACCGAATCATTCCACAAAGTTCTCGTCAATTTCGAGGAATTATTCAGTAATACCTGCCCATGCAATCTGCAACCTTCATGCCATTACCGGCCATTCATCGCTATAATATTGCGCACATGACGACCTCGACAAGGACTCAAAACGATCTTGACCTTTATCGTTTACTTGCAAATGTTGCCTGGCGCCAATGGCATCGACTTTTCTCTGTCCATCAAATGATTGATGATGATTTAAGACGAACTTGTCTGTACAACCACTTATATTTATCTAGAGCAAAATTGTTATAAAGTGAAATACTTTCTCAAATACTTTATTATTATTAAAATATATGAATATATTTAATAAATGTTAATATTATTTGTTATTGTGCATACTATTTGTTTTTATTTCGTTAATTTATTATTTATTTAGAGCAATTATTAACGTAAATTAAATGATACACGTACACACAGCTACCTCTATTTAATATAATATTACAGATTTCATATGAATTTATAATTTATGTCTAACGGAAAGTCCAACTGAATGTACATTCTATCATTAGTCATTCTTATTTCTTTTCTAATACATATATTAGTTAATTATGTTTACTTGTTAATTATGTTTACTACTTTACATAATTTTAACGTAAATATAATTTTAACGTATATATATATATA